TGTCGGACGGCAGTAAGGAATCATAGCGCATCGAGACGATGGAACGGACTAATCTTAGTCATTAATACAGAAGACTACTTTCCGACGGATAAGGTCAAAGACAACGTACGCCACCCAAAAGGTTGACCAATCGACAAGGTCCTCTAAACGGTAGCACACTCGGTAAAAAAACACGTAAGAATTCCAGTATAACCGCCCAATAAAGGGCCCGATGATGGGCCCTATGATGCTATCCACAACAAAGTAGCGATCGGCTTCGGAAAGGCAGCAAATTTGTCGAAACGGGAGAATCAAGCGGCGACATTTCCAAGCGATCACCGAGCTGAACACTGATAAACCGATACACGGGAGAGTAGCTAGGAACAACTCGTAACTCGCGGTATCCACGGTATAATAGTTCCATAAGTTATAGGCAACGTACAGCCACAGTGAGATGAAAAATCCAGGATAATATAACTGAACGATTCCCGCTGCAATCACTAAGCTGGCAGTGGCGAGGATGGCGAACACCAGATGAACGCCTATAAAGTCCTGCATGAACACACTTTCCAAACAGCCCAGATAACGCCACGTGCCCTGCCATACATCTGCTGCCGACAGAAACCATTTGCCATGCAGCTTCCGCGCACTGTACCACAGCACCAAAGCATTCATTAAATCGCCAAGGGAGAATCCAACACCGGCTCCCAGAAAGTGCGGAAGAAGCTCCAGGATAAATGGACGCTTGTCGGACTGAAAAACCAGAGTCGTATATTATTGATAGAATTGTAACTAAACAATCAGCTGTTGATAAAGTTTGTATTAAACAGCGTTATAATTATTAGGAACGAGTGTGCTGACGATTTGATAGAACGACTAGGATTACGCTTTAATCTCCCACAAATTTTCTGGTCGCTTGGCTCGTTAATCGGTTCGAAAATAAAAAAAAACACTCGTAGTTCCGGCGTTATTTTTAAATTACTTTCGCCAAAGTAATTTCGCATGGTACCCTTCAGTCTGATAGCTTTTAAGCCCTACCTCCGGTTGATTTTCATCTTCACCAGAGTTAAATCGCACATATTCGATGACGTAGGCGGTGAATAAAAGCAGGCTGCGGACAACAGATAGCACTAACAACTGTCGTATAAGAGGCTTGAGACGTTTGGCATACGAGTTCTTCTGGAGAGCTATTCTCATTACATCGTCAAAGCCAGGATCAAACGTGAAAAATTCGCCACACGAGCGAGAGCGGTTAAGAGACGGACGATTCTGCACTGTTCGGATGGCGGAGTCGTCCTTGGCCCAAAACGCCATCGCTATCGGCGTTGCTGATAAGATCATAAGAACAAATCGAATTTTGAAGAGAATATGGTGTAACGGTTGGGCAAAACTAAGCAGTTCGTACCACGGTTTACGGCAGCAGAAAATCAGTAATATATTACAATTGCGGTGACTCGCAAATCCCTACATCTCAGCCTCGCGTAACGGTCCAAAAGCAATAAAAACGGCAAGCGGTCTGAATCAGATTCCTTCTTCCCTGCTGACCGTCCTCTGTGACGCTCTTGCAGCCCGGTCCAAATCGCCTTTTTCAACCGGTAGGCATTTGTGCCCTGCAGCTCTCTACTCCCTTTCAAAAAAGACACGGGGAAGGGCAGGTGTCCTGTAGCTCCCTGCTCCCTTTCAAAAAAGTCAATGGGAAGGGCAGGCCAGTTATCCTTTGCCGTAGTGCATATGCAAGGAGACTTTACAGAGGAGTCTCTCATAAGTGTGGACAGTAAGACTATTTGAAAGGGAGCAGACCAAGAATATGTGCGGGACTGGCCCTTTGACCGCTTTCCTCGCCGCCGTACCGTTTGCTTGTTTACCTAGTCTGCTTTGTCAATGCATTCAGAGCTAAAATAGGAAAGACAGTAACGCGAGTAGCTACCTCCACCTCGAGCTTTCCACACTTCGCAAGCTTCTTTTACAACACAGCCTTTTCGGATCAGACGGCAGAGGGCTGATGCTGATACGCTTTGCTGAGATGTGGCGATCTGCGAGTCACCGCAATTGTAATAATACTGGCGGATCGGATAAATACCGGAAGCCACCCGGCTGCTTAGTGAATTGGGAAAAGGATTCAGCGGGAAACCGGCGAAACGTGGGCGACAGAATATCTGCGTCAATGATCAGCACAGATGTCCAGCGGGGATACACAGCATCTATACTGGGGACAGCGCCTTCGACGGCGAATTTAGATGAAATTTCTCTGCTGCTTGACTGTCTATGGTATAATGGTAGTATATGTTGCGGTGTAAGTTACACCGTGTAACTCGCATGTGATTCCATGTTCTGATCATTTATTTAAAATCTTGAAAATTTAATGGCAACCGGTCACGACTAGAGGTGGTGGATCGCCACTGCTACATCAGTTACCATGCTAGAAGGATAACACTACAGATGCCACAGCGTACAGCACACTCTCGTGACATCACTGCCACTACAGGGTACAATGCGCGGCGGGCGGGTGACACCAGCGGCAGCGGGTGAGCCGACGGAAAGGAGTCCATAGAACTATCGCGTGACCGCTTGGTCCACCGATAGGCGTGCTGTTGGGCCAGAGATGTTGGCCGCGCTCGATTGTGGCCACTGAGGACACATTCCCATAATTTGCCGCCCGGAGTCTAAAGAACGGCAGGATCAAGGCGCCAGCCGTACAGTGTTTATCGAAGCCGAGTTCGATGTTCTGAGAATCAATGTGCCTAGAGAAACCACCTCGGAGCCTATGGATGCCACGGTGGTCCGCTGTTTCTTCGATGAATTTTGTCGACCGTCACTACGCCAAACAGAAATGCTGCCAACCCGTTACGACATCAAGATACCGCTTGGCTAAACCGTCGTAGTTTCTTAAGTTTCTTACGTGTTATGTTTTCTTATGTGTTCTTGCCGTCGCCCTCGAGATAGTCGACCTTGTGTCGGTAGAAGGAATTTTATTCATCCATAACCTGGATTCCACCATAAACTAGCCAGCGCCCACTGTGCACTGTTCAAAAACTAATTTTTATCAGCCATATCGCTACCCCACGCGTTATCAATATGTAAAAGCAGGAACGCGTGCAAAAAAAGCTTACGAATATATATAAACAAACAAAATTTTAGATAGGAAAAACAGTTGAACGGTCGAAAGTTAGATTGCAAAACTGAAGGCACGTCACGGATGATGGAATTCGAATTATACGAGTAGCCATAATATTACTAAATAGTAATATTAATTACTAAATAGTAATATTACTACATAGTTTAATAATATTATGGAGTAGCTTATCAAAACGTCAAAGCGGGCCAGTCTTTGCTCATTAATTCGTACGATCTCTCGTCGGCGCAGAAGATCAAAGACAACATCCAAATGACCGAGCAAATGAACCACGGTCACGTAAACTGCGGCGCACCCGGTTGAAAAGCGCATAAGAATATATTAACCCAGGAAAACCGGGTACTAGAAGGGATGGGACTACAGTTCTGAAAATTGGCAGTCTGGGACAAAAAAATTCAGTTAAGAGAAAAATAATTTTTTCAAAATTTTAGCGACCATAGGTCAAGCAGGAGATGACCATGTCGGCCTAACACGCATGGTTACCATGTTGCGCCGACATGTTATCCACTGCCGTTTATAACAACTGATAAACAAATTGCATAGAATATGTTAATAGCTAAACAATAGTCGATAGATGAGTACTTCAAGATGGGTGCACTGTGGTGGTCATCGAGATGACCAGTGGTCAAGGGAAATTTTTAAACAAAAAAGTACTGATATGCACCATTACGTAAGTGCTACTTGGGTATTTCGCAATAGTTGGTCACTTCTTATGTATAGGTAAGTACTGCTTCTGCTTATGTCTTGGACAACTGGTCATCGGACTTAATGTAGATAATGTGTACTGTACGCAGTCCGAGTGACGTGTTCAGTGGTAGTAGTATCCGGTCGTGGAAATGAATAATAATAATAATAATAATAATAATAATAATAACGGAATTTATTGTCCTTTGCTACGGAACATTGCCCCCTTTAAGCTAAGACAGAGAAATTGGAAAACAAACAGAAATTTTCGTGCAAAAGAAGGATGTTGTATCCAAGATCAAACGGATTTTACAGACATCACTTGCAGCCTGTACAGTCAGTTTCAGCTGAAATTTAACGAAACAACAACAACAGCACACATAATTCAGGCGGCAAACTGAGGGTGATTCTTAATCCACAGAGGATGCTTCTTAATCCACGTAAGTTTCATCCAATCCACGTCGTCGAGTGCCTTCTGGAACGCACAGAGGGACTTATAGGATTCTGGAGGTAAAGGAAGCTCATTCCACAAGGTCGCAAGTTGCTCCACGTGCGATCCATGGACAGCAGTCACAGTAGTTCCGCATACCGATGTTGGAGCCGGCATTATTGGGTGAGGATGGAGCGTCATATAAATGCAGTGACGAGTACTACCTGCAACAGCTTAAAGCGCAGCAGCCGAACCGACAAACTTTACAAAACAAAAATTTCCTAGCGGGACTTTACAAAACCATAATTTATACACAAAAACAAGCGCTTTCTTTACACGGCGTAACTTGAGGCTATCCCATTTTAGTTCCTTTAAACGTTCTTCGTAATCCGACAAATTACTTCCGAGACGAATGCTTTTCACAAAGCTAACTTGGCACTTTTCAATGATATCACTAGACATTTTCAGTACTGGGTGACCGAAACTTTCAAAAAGTGTGAAGAACCGGAGGAAGACTGTGTTTTCGCTGATCTACGATCGTTTAATGTTTTTCGTAAACCAATTGGCAAGATCGGTGGTGGTGTAGCACTCATTATTCGTAGAAGTTATAAAGGTTATCGACGTGATGACCTAGAGATTCCTTCTGTCGAAGCTCTGTTTGTTGAATCGAAAATTTTAAACCGGATATTCATTGTTCTCTACGCTCCACCTGACAAATGCCAACAAGTTGTGCCTATGCTTACCGAACACCTGCGCAATAAGCTTACTCCGAATATGCTTTCAAAGAGTGTGCTGATGGGTGACTTTAATTTTCGCGACATTGACTGGCAACGCGGAACAGGATCCACTAGCGCCAGTTGTGACCTGTTATTTATCGATTTTCCTACCAGAATGATTTTCCTACCAGAATGAACAACTGCCTCGACCTTTGTTTGCTTGATGGAAAAAGTTTATTTGAACCAGCTGAAGCAATATCTCCGCCCTCCTGCACAAATGATCACGTGGGTTTTCAGTTTACACTAATTACCAAAACATTCAGGATAAAAAATCAAAAGATAAAAAAGTGGAAAATCGACAAAAATAATATTGGTAATTTTTGTAATGTTTTGAATAATACCGATTGGAATTCTTTATTTTGTAATCATGATAGTAACAGTCGAGCATCAGTTTTTGAACAAGTTTTCATTCAAGCAGCCAGTCTATGCTTCGAATACCGTACTGTTGTTATTCGAACTGGAAAGGTCACGTATCCGTCTAATATCAAGAAGTTAGTAAAAGCTTGTGATGGAGCGTTCAGAATTTACCGTCAAGCAGAGCAGCCACTTGAAGATCCTCTTAAAGAGAAATGGAAATCTCTGTCCAAGCAATGCGATCGCTTAGTAAAGAAATTTGAATGCTCAAAAATAACTGAACGTTGCGTTATCGCACCGAAATAATCCAGCAAAATTTTGGCGATATGTAAAATCAACTTCCGACCGCTGTGGCATACCGCCGCTAAATCTACTCAACGGCCGAACCGCGGTCTCTGACACCGAAAAGGCGAATGCTCTAAGCATACAATATCGTGAATTACAGTCCACGTGTGGATCAGATTGTAATAATTCCGGATCGGACATAATTTGTCGAAATGAAAGTAAATGGAAATAACGGAGTTACTCGTTCTTGAACAGGTTATAAAAGATTAAGAGGAGGTGTGGCCATCGCATCCATCCCGAGCGACCCAATGGATCAATCTTTTAGCTCTATATATTATTCGATAGCCCTAATTTGGTAGGTTTTTACAAAATTAGTTTGATCTGAAAAAGCGAATACATTTTGAAGAAAACTCTGGGAAACCTTACTATACAAAGTCTACGGAACATTGCAACAGCCAATCAGGAAAATCGGAAAGAACTCCGAAACCAGTTGGTGCTCAAGTAACTGCCTTCATGAGCGGTATGCTTGAATTTAACGTATCAGCCCGTCCATGGGGTAGGACAGCAATTTACTGTTACACCTTCATCACTAGCAGAGATGGGCAAACTAAAACTGGCTAAACTAAACTAAACTAAAACTCGGTTAAAAGTTTTAGTTGCTAAAACTGACTTGGTTAAAACTTTTAGTCAACTAAACGTTGGCGACTAAATTTCTTAGCGGTTAACCACAAGTTGGTTAAAATTTTTAACCGGTTAACCAAAGTTAACCGAGACTAAAAATAAATTTTTCCGCTTTCAAAAAGAGTGTAATTCACTGCGTCCAGGCTATTGTCGTTTGTAAAACTTTGTTGCGCACACGGAATCAAAATTTATTTCACTGATGAGAACCAATAAATTTGTCTTTAAAAATGTGTTCCTCGATTGAAGGATACTAGTAGTGCATGACATTGTATGTGCAGTCAGTCAGTATTTAGTCCGGCTCACTCAGACACTGGGATTTATAGCCGTAAATCAACATGTTTCACAAATCCCCTTGTACTGCTGGAGTCATCCACCCGTAGTTTCGCCATGTGGTCTTACTTTAGGCGAGTATCAGAGAAATACCGAGTACAGGGAAGGTGTGTAATACACCAACAAATTTATTTTGTACATTTGGGCTTGGTTTGTCGCTGCACTAACCTCACAATTGCGATTAACCGGTTAACCGTGGAAATATACGAGTAGTAACTAAAATCGACTTGACTAAAATATTTAGTCACTAAAAACTTTCTGACTAAACTTTTTAGTTACTAAAGTTTGTTAAACTAATTTTTTTAGTTTTGGTCAGGTTAACCGAAGTTAACCGTTAATTAGTCGACTAATTTTAGATAGCACATCTCTAATCACTAGTGCGGGAACATTGCGCTCATTGGCCAGAATCCCTGAACAGCACAACCAATAAAAATTGCAAAACACCACCAATATTATCAGTTTTTTTTCAGTTACACTGTTAACCATGGAAGTGGAAATTGTGTTCCGCGAAAGTTTTCTAAGTCCAACTTCTCAGGTTAGCACATCGTGAGAACGTGGAAATTCTCGAAGAACCTAACTCTATAATCTGAGTATAACTATGTGTGGTGGTGTCACAATTTCGTATATTACTGGTGCATAATCGCTTTCACTGTTGTCAAATCATGAAACCCAAGCAAAAAAGTATTGTGTCTGGTCAAAGGTATGCCTGTGAAATTTGTGAGACTTCCGGAGAAGTACGAAGTTACAGCTGTGCTAAAAGCTTAAAAAGACATCTGCGTCAACATCACAAACATCCAGAACCCTCTGCACAAGGTAAAAACGGGTTAAAATAATCTGTATGAAAGGCAATTGACTTCTGCCATTGCATTAAGTACTATTGCAAGCTTTGATGACTGCTTTTACGTTAGCGCCAGGAACGGCTTCGGTGTGTGTATGCAACGAACCTAGCTGCGATTTTCGGTATCGGCACATGGGCCAATTCGTTCAGCATCTCGCCAAAATGCATGGACTTGAACATCGAAATATTGATCAAAGTTTTGCTGGAGAAGAGGAGTTTAATAACTGGAAGCTAGCAACTCAAGAGTATACATATTCCCAGTTCAATAAGTATGCTGGCGCTACCAAGTCAAAGGATGTGACATGGCAAACCTATCTGTGCTTCCGCAGTCCCAGAACGGAAGCTGAAGTATCTTCAGCCACGTTAACTTTCCGGTGTTCAGCATTCTTCAAGGTACACCACCATTACAGTGATCAGAATATCCAAACTTAGAGCTACAGCATCTAAAAGAAATTTTCTGAAATATTTATAGGAAACTTTGAAAGCATTTTGTAAGCAGAACATTTATGCTTAGTTTGTAATTTGTATTACAGGACTTAGCGCTTATGCAAAATTTACCATGCTTTGAGTTGAAGTTTTAGTTGCACCTAATTAGTGGCACCTAGAAGACTGTTACCATGCAATGAGTTGCAAATTAGTGGCACATAATTAGTGGCACCTAGACAAAATTTACGGTGTAATGAGCTGAAATTTTAGTAGCACCTAATTAGTGACACCTAGACAAGATTTACCCTGTAATGAGCTGAAATTTTAGTTACACCTAGTTAGTGACGCCTAGACGAGATTTACCGTGTAATGAGTTGCAAATTAGTTGCACCTAATTAGTGGCACCTAGAAGAAATTTACCGTGTCATGAGCTGAAATTTTAGTTGCACCTAATTAGTGACACCTAAACGGACTTTACCGTATAATGAGCTGAAATTTTAGTTGCACCTAATTAGTGACACCTAGAAGACTGTTACCGTGCAATGAGTTGAAAATTAGTGGCACCTAATTAGTGGCACCTAGACACAATTTACCATTTAATGAGCTAAAATTTTAGTGACACCTGATTAGTGGCACCTGGACGGACTTTACAGTATAATGAGCTGAAATTTTAGTTGCACCTAATTAGTGACACCTAGAGGAATGTTACCGTGCAATGAGGTGAAATTTAGAGGCACCTAATTAGTGACACCTGGACGAATTCTGCTGTTTTATGAGTTATAAATTAGTAGTATCTATTTAGTAACACCTAGAAAAATTTGCAGCAAAACATACTGCAAGCAGCATAGCGTAACATGGAGTTAAATATTTGTGGCATCAAATTAGAAATGGGCGCATAATTGGCGGTGTATTTGCTTCAAATTTCAGTAGCGCTTAATAAGTGGCATCTGGACGGATTCTGCAGTTTTCGAATTAAATAATAGCAAAACTTACTTAACAGCACCAGGGCTAGATTTACCGTTTATTAAGTTGAAATATCAGATGCACTTAATTAGCAGCGCGTGCTCCAAATTTACAGTTCTTAATAAAATTTGAAATATCAAAAACAGCTAGTAAATAACATTTGTAACAAGCTTTTGCTTAAATTTGACCTATCCTATTGACCTATCCTACGTTTTCTCGCAGCTGTACCGTAGCGGAAGCGGAGTGAGCATTCGTGGATGCTTGGATCATTATGGTCACGAGCCAGCCGAGGATGTTGCACAACAAAAAATTCCGGACAGCATAAGACAAGAAATTGCAGCACGAATAAATTTGGGCGTTCCACCCCGGAAAATTGTTCGCGATCTTAGACGATCAGCTTTTCAGAACTATCAGAACTGTAAATTGCATTAAACGTAAAAGTCGCATTGTATCTGATACATTTTCTTGAGTAGATTTGTTTATGTTGACAGCTGGACTTCCTCACAGACTGGCTTTTTTGACCCTTCAAGACGTATATAATGTCCGGCGTGAGTACGGTTTGGATTACCATTCCACTGACCCCGACGATCTTTCCAGTATTGCTCTTGAAGCTGCACGACAATCCTCGCTACCGGACGAAGAAAAGTCTATACTTTTTTTCAAAAATTTTGGGGAACAATCGGGTCTATATCCGGAAATAAAAGACTCGCATTTTATTTTGATTGTGCAGACGGATATTCAGAAAAAACAGCTAAGTAACCTTAGCTGTCGGAGTGTATGCATCGATGGTACGCATGGAATTACCGGACGCCCTGAATTTAAGCTAATCACCTTAGTGGCACTGGACGACAAGCAGCGGGGAATTGTTGTTGCACACTGCATAAGCAACCACGAGGACGAGATTTCTGTGACTCATTTGTTCAAAGCTCTCGAAGGCCAACTGAAAAGCAAGAACGTACAATGGTTTTTATCAGATGACGCTAACGCATTTTATAATGCATGGAAGAACATTTTTGGAAATGCCGCACAGAAAATTCTTTGCATTTGGCATGCCCGGAAAAATGTCAATCAATGGCTTGATCGCCGTTTGAAATCACTGCGGTCCGTAAAACAGAAATTTCGAGACATAATGTATGCTCACAACAAGGAATGCATGGATAATGCGGTTTCGGCAATGAGAAGGCTCTCGCTTTTGCGCAATCCGAATCACTTTTGCTATAAATGCTATAAACCTGAAATTGGTTAACTTTCGACTACATGGCTGTGTGTCCTTTACTGCAAAGTCTCAAAATGATCGGGTAATAACCAGACTTTTGGTACACAATAATGCATTTAAACTTTTCGCCGAGTTTAGTACGGCATATCTCGGCAACCGGTTGTTGCGCGCGCAAACGGTTTTCAGAACAATTATAAATGTACACATATCATTTAGCTTTAGAAAGATATAAAGTACCACAAAAAAGTGAATCGGAGTGCGCGAAAGGGAAAGTTTTATTTTATGTATCTTATCTTTTTGTCACAATGTACCGGGCCATTTGCCTTAATTAACCCTTGGACATGTAGTGCAGCCTTTCTCGGACTTAAATTTCCACAACATTAAATTAAATTACATTCTAAGCCTTATGGGAGTTAGGTTTTGTTTTCAAAGGCAATGACAATAACGCTTTCCAAATAACGCTTACAGCTTCCCAAATCGCCTCGAAAACGCCAATCTCATCACTTTCGCTGACATGCTGTTCTTCCAAATCCTAATCATCCGAACCTCGGCCTTCTTCCGATAACACACTGGATCCTTCAGCGGCCACATGAAAAAAATATTATCAGATGTCAAGCAAGAATTTAAACGTAGCCATAAAAAATAAACACACATTAAGTAGTAAGTACAGTGTCAACTGTCCACTCATAGCTAGCACTAAAATTTACTCTTCACCTGACGGCTTCGCGATCACTTGATTGGACTTTCTGGTGGCAAGCTTTGAGCGAGACATTCGTTTGCTGTATTTCCTGAGGCCAGATTACAAAAGACATGTAAACATTATGCAACCCGTCAGAGCTATATGTGTTTAGACCGATCTCTGTTACTAAAACAAAATTCTTATTATTATAAATACTTCAACGCATAACGTTTTCATGAACACCTACCGTGCGCAGATATTCAATTTTTTATGACAGATTTATTGTCTTTCCTTACAAATTCTGCTATAAATGTAGATTAACGTACCGCACTTTAGGCAAAATGGTTTCTAACGGCTTCCCTGTCAGTCGTTGAAATTCCCTCTTGCCATCTTCCGTTAACCCAACTCCAGAACGATAGATTCCAGTCCTAACTCCGATGTCAGTGCGGCCGCTGACGCTGAATCGGTGCTTAAGAAGCATCCCGATCGACGTAGCAGCCGAATTAGGATTATAAGGCAGATTATTTTCTTCTGCGTATCTGAATAATACTTGCGGTTAAAGTGTTTAAAACTTTTGCGTTCAAAGTAAGAAGAAATAGCAAAATCAAACATACCTTCTAAAGAACAACAGCACTCCTGCTTTTGACGTTTTGGTGTTGGGAGATTCGTTAAAAAATGTTTCGACCCTAAAATTACAAAAGAACCAATCATTAGTTCAAATAACGGTCAGTGTAGTTGTGCTGTCGGACTTATAGTGCCGCTTATTAGTTATTACCATGTTTCAATTTCTTTCGCGATACAGCGGTCGCCGCTCTTGGCCGCCGAACTTGCCTCCACGGTTTTTTTATTGTTCTCATTAAGACTGCGACCAGAGTTCTTCAAACAAACCCTTTCCTGACAAGATGATGTGTCCCGATTTTCATACGTAGCCTCATCCACCGTTGCAGCACGTGGAATAACCTTTAAACTCTACGCCAAAACAAACATTTGTTTTTTTTAAACCCAAACTTTTCGAATAAACCAAATAGAGGAGTTACGTTGATGAATTCTGCGTGAGCTTTGGATGCACGTCGAATGCATTTTTTCAGCTCAGCACATCTCTTTCTGTTCTTCTCGGTAGCCGTTTGCTGTTCCTCAGTCATCTGCTCAAACGGAATTATATCTAAAAATAAAGTTTATATCAGAACCCAGAAGTTAATTTCGTCTAGGTGCTACTAATTAGGTGCCACTAAATTTCAACTCGTTGCGCGGTGAATTTCTTCTAGGTGCCACTAATTAGGTGCTACTAAAATTTCAACTCGTTACACGGTAAATCCCGTCTAGGTGCCACTAAATAGGCGCTCTAAAATTTCAACTCATTACACGGTAAATTTCGTCTAGGTGCCACTAATTAGGTGCAACTAAAATTTTAACTCATTACACGGTTAATTTCGTCTAGGTGCCACTAATCTGCAACTCATTACACGGTAAATCCCGTCTAGTTGCCACTAAATAGGCGCTTTAAAGTTCAACACATTACACGGTAAATTCGGTCTAGGTGCCACTAATTAGGTGCCACTAAATTTCAACTCGTTACGCGGTGAATTTCATCTAGGTGCCACTAATTAGGTGCAGCTAAAATTTCAGCTCATTAACACGATAAATTTGGACTAGGTGCGACTAATTAGGTGTTACTAAAATTTCAACTGATTACACAGTAAATTTCGTCTAGGTGCCACTGAATAAGTGCCACTAAAATTTAAACTTAAGAAATGACACATCCCGTCTTATATCAGTGAATGAGTTCGTTCT